TTTGGGACAATTTTATTATATTTGGGATTTGGGATTTGGGTGGGATTTTGAGATTTTTAGTTTTGCCAACATGTATAGATCCAACTATAGATAGGTGATTCAGTAAACTATATAAATAATATGTTCACGCACGATAACTGAATTCTTTTCTTGCAATTAATATCATCTCCTTTAAGACAGGAAATAAATCATTATTTTTGCATTGTTTTTCGATCAAGATTAGTGCTTACAAAAAAAGGTATGATAAACATATTAGAAGAATGGTTTGAAAAAGCTATTTCCGAAGGGCATATTAATTATATCAATTATAATAATTTACAGACCCTATTGTAATCGGCATTGGAGGTTTTGGAAAGGTTCTTAAATACGAGTGGAGAGACAGTGAATTAACGGTTGCTCTTAAATGTCTTAAAGTTGATACAAACATTGATGAAAGAATCATTAAATATTTTATTAATGAGGTATTATTTGTTGTGTTAAAGCTTTGATAATATCTACAGCAGAATAATAAATTCATATAATTAGCTTAAGCTATTGCGAAGAGTTTCGTGCCGTCAAAACGTTATTACGTTCTATGAAGTAACAAAAGGTAAACAAGTAATTTATAATTTTTGAAGATATCAACTAAATAATACGTTAAACAAAAAATATATTTATCCTATCAAATCGAATATATAGATAGCAACGGATATTATGATATGTTACAATATGTTAATCAAGGAACTTTACGAGAATACCTAATGCAAGTTTTACGAACTTACAATGGACTGATAAACTATGCATTGCTAAGGAAATAGCACTTGGGCTTTTATTTTTACATTATTCATAGAGATCCGGTAAATATAGTATTATGTATATTTTACAGATAGTATTTATTAATTTATAAATGCATAATTCGACCATTATATTTTAATAATTTAGCATTCAGGAAACATCTTAATTCATCACAGACAACCAAAGATTACAGATTTCGGACTATCAAATTAACGAAATTGCTTCGAACTCAAATGCTCATGGAATGTCAGCGTACTTCGAACCTCAATATCTTGTTGATGCTTTAGTTGATTTTTTTCATTATTGATAAAACCACTAATTTTTGACTGATCATAGAATTTTAAATGAACATAGATTTTATGAAAGATATTTAGTTTGGACTAGAAGTTCCCAGCTATATGTTTAGGGATGAACGCAGCAAACTCTAAGTACTTTTTCTCGTAGTCTTATTAAAGATAATTTAATCAATTATAATACAATTTCTAAAGATTTGTACAAAATTAAAGAATCTTACTTAGCACTTAGTGGACACATTAGGCCTTCTCTTTTTGATATGATTCAGATTAAACGTTGGGTATGTGATAGTTTACACACTACTGTATATTAAGAATAAGCAGGATTAAGGTATAAAAACAAATTCATTCTTTTCCAGTCGCATGCTTTTATTTATAATTATATAACAATTAAAATTGTATGTACGTAGACTACAGTCAGATCTTCAACGTGGTCAATTAAATGAAAATTTGCAAAATTTAATTTTAACTGAAATGAAAAGATTACGAATTAATTAGTTATTTATATCATTTAATTTATTTTAATATAAATCATCAAATAGTGTACAAATTGCTTGGGTTCATTTATTAAGTTATAAAACTTCATGTTTAAATACAGTCAGACCCCTTAAATGCAACCCCTCTAAGTGCATGTCCTATGAAAAACCTCTCTAAATGCATGTCTTCTCTTGGGCCCAACTAATATTACGGCTATAGATTCTTATCTCCCTAAATGCAATACCTCTTTAAATGCACGTTTGGCTAAATTTTTACATATGATCCCGTCGCATTGCATTTAGAGAGGTCTGACTGTACATTGTTATATATATATTATAAGTAATGAAAGTGAAAGTCTATATATTCGCCATTTTAGTGTGCGCATTAATATAAATAAAAGTTAGATAAATTTTTAATAAAAAAACTCTAATACGAAATAAAAAGTAAATAAAATAAAACACCTACCAGTTACCAATTTTCTTCGTTAGATCCTATTAGTGTATTGTTGAAAGTAAATTCAATTCTGAGTCTATTTGTATAATAGTGATTTATTATGTAAACGTAGCCCATCTTGACATATTTTTGAAAAAGGATAAATATTTTATTTTCATCCTTTTTAGCTCCAAACATATCTCGATAACAGGAGTCAGCTTGAAACGTTTTATTATAATAACCCATAACAGTAAGTTTCCGGTAATAAAGTTAGCCTGCATTCATAAGATGAAAAAATAAAATTAATATTTTCGGAAATTCAATAATAGTATCACAAAATTAATTCTCCCAATACAGCAATACTAACTCTGTAACAATCAGGTGTTGTAAAATACTGTAATTTTGTCAAAGGCAGGCATCATTATTTTGTTTTTAATATTATTTTCAGGTTCAGACGAAGATTCCAAATAGAAAAAGATCCATTGATCTGAATTTCTTTCCAGTTCCACTATTTTACAAAATAAATATCATAAGTATGCAAAACAATTCAAATAAACGTATGTACTAAGCGAGATCTTTCTAAACGCACAATCTTTCTAAGCACTCTAGTTCCAGCCCAAATATATATGTACGTGATATCCATAAATATGCTTTTTCTATTGTTCTTTAGGTGAAGTCTGGCCTTGGCGGTGTGCATTTAGAGAGGTCTGATTATAATTAAAAACCTGACTCGCAAATCTCCACATTCACTCTTGTGAGATAACATAAATTATTAATATGAAATTAAGATTCTAGGTTATGAATCATGTAACTTAAACCTCGATCTTCGGTACTAGTAAAAGTTTAATCTTAATGCAATTTATGGTAAAATAAAGAATTAAACTTGATACATTACCTCATCCCGGTAGTATTTATTGTATAACCATAAGAAGTGGTGAATATTGATAATTTAACGAAATACTAAAAAAAAAATCTATATTTTCCTCATTACCGAATACAGAAATAGATTTTAACCAAAATTGGTTGAATAATTGTGCTGCCATTAAATTTAAGAATAATTGAAGTTAGTTAAATCTGACAATATATCAAGAAATTGTGAAAAAACAATGCACATAAGCAGAATTCTGCGTATTCAAACATTTAAATAATAAAATCTTAATGTACATACGTACGTACGTACAAATATCGTCATACAAAAATAAAATCAACTTAAATTCTGCATTGATTATCTAACAAACATGTGACTATAAATAATACAACTGGTTGAACAACCAGTTGAAATTAGATATTAACAGGTTACCGTGTTTAGCATTTGTTTTAAAACTTTATTTACCAAAATGGTATGGAAAGAAGAAAGCAACTATCCAGAAAGCCCTGATATTGTTCTAAAAGATGAACATCAAACATTTAAATTTCATATAATTAAAGAAGGTGTATATCCACCAAATCATAAACTTAAATATACTCGGCGCCCTGGAAAGTACCCTATACCCCATAATTATGTCGTTCAAACTACATATTCAAAAAAAAAATATGTTGTTGAGTGCTCAATAGCTTATATTGATGATAAACCGTTATACCAAATATACTTTGGAAAGTATTTAGACAAGCTTGTAGAGTCGGAACAGTCAACTTCACATGCTGCACAATTATATTGTGAGGTAAAATAATTATATATTTTAAAGATTAATATTATACATATACAAGTTTAATACTGTATAATTTTTATTAGGCTTTGGTTAAGTATATTCGAAACAATAAACAAGTAGAATCCAAGAGCAAGCTTTCTGGACCTCTTCTTTTTGGCCTATGCTGTAAAAGTGTAGAAGCAGTTCGTAAAAAAGTGCCATCAAATAGTTCAATACAAATAAAATCATTTAATATTTATAGTACCTTTGCACAACGCAAACATATATTAGATTTAGGAAAGCGGTTACTAGAATTTGTAGAAGAAGAAAAAGAGAATTTTTTTCATCCAAATGACAACATCGTTCTTAAACAAGCAAGGTTTGAAATTAATAATCATACATATAATATCAATTATGGAAAAGTCGATAAGCAAAAAATAGAAACACAAACACAGGCCATTGTAAAGTCAATTGATCAAAATCGAATTTCTCAGGATGCATATAGGTCTTTAGCTAGACTTGACGAATCGCTAATTAGAGCTGGAGCAGTTTATAATATGAGACAAGAGATAACAAATAGAGTCAATAAAAAAATTCCTATTAGTTTAGTTGATATTGATCAGCCAACCAGCTTCGAACCAATCACTGAAGAGTCTGATATTACAGATCCAAGTATAGTTACTAATGTTATTGCATCTATTGGTAAAGGTGGACAGCGACGAATTACAGACATACTTAATTATATAGTTCCATTATATGTTCAAAAAGAGGTTTTAAAACCTGGATCTACCTTACATTTACGCATATCCGGAGATGGTCGAAATGTTGGCAAAAAAGTTAAACATGTTATGGTAACTGTTGCACTTTTGAATAATTTAGACAAATTGCATAAACCAGAATCACACTATACATTAGTTTTATTTCCTGGCATGGAAAATTATCATTCACTTCAAAATGCACTAGCACCTTTAATATCAGACTTACGATTTTTAAATGAACACAGGTTTCATGAGGTTGGAGGAAGACATTGGAATGTTGAGATATATTTTAGTTCGGATTGGAAGTTCCTAGCTATATGTTTAGGAATGAATGCAGCAAACTCCAAGTACTTTTGCCCATGGTGTTCTTGCAATAAAGAAAATTTAACCAACATTGTTGAATATAATACAATTTCTAAAGATATGCAAAATATTAAAGAATCCTACTTAGAACTTAATGGACATATTCGACCTCCTCTTTTCGATATGATTCTGATTAAGCATTGGGTATGTGATAGTTTACATGCTATGTTAAGAATAAGTGACCGGCTCTGGGAATTATTTTTATCAGATCTTCAACGTGGTCAATTAAATGAAAATTTGCAAAATTTAATTTTAACTGAAATGAAAAGGTTACGAATTAATCATTTTCATTTTTGGATTGAAAATACAACACAAAATTCATCTTATACATCATTGATGGGTCCTGACAAACTTAATATTTTAGAAAATTTTGATTTTACTAATTTTATATCAAGAGAATTTTCTCAAGAACATGCTATTAAACTTCGCAAGCTCTGGACCGGTTTCTTTGAATTATACAAGATGATGACATTACCAAACATAATGGGATTAGAGTTTAAAGTTAAGGCAGAATCATGGTTAAAGCTATTTTTAGAACCATCTAAAGGACAACCGAATCGACCAAATTTTACTCGTGGAATGTATCGGGTAAATGTATATCTATTTTTGTCTTAAAATTTTATAAATATTGACTTAAAGTTTTTGTTTATATAAACAAAAAGGTGTCTGACGCTACACCTTACATACATGTGTTAGTCTCTCATATTTATGAGTTGATCGACATTCATCAAGAATTTGGAATTGCCGCTTTTAATTGTTCAGCTATTGAGAAAAAAAACCATCTTCAAGTTTGTCGCTATTTTCAATCTACACTTAAAGATGGCGGTCATGAAAACCATAGACGATCATGTATTCTTGAATTATTAGAACATGAAAACCGGGAACTATTTTTTCAACGGTTTGAAGTACCAAATTACTTTAAAAAAAGTACATCCTATAGGGTGGAAAATTAGTTTGTCATATCTTACTTTTTGAATCTAATACTGTTAATACTAATGTAGTTGTTTGGAGCTATTAGAGCTAAGATCATATTAAATCTGAGGGTAGTTTCATTTCACTTATTACATGTGAATATAATCATTACTAAATAAATAAAGTAATGGTCAATATTAATGCTTTGAAATAGCGTGTAGATTATATTTTAAATTAATAGCTTAAATTTGTCTAATGGGTATGTTTTTTTTTATTTAATTAGAGGTCTTACATGTAAAAATGCCAATCGAAATTTACTCAGATTTAAATCATATCCTTTTGGTTGTATCATATATAAAAAAATATAGTTAATCGTATTACAGATTATATGGATAACAATTATCTCACGAAATATTTTCAATAGTGGCTTTTTTGGTTTTTGTTTCCAATATGTTAACCATGATAGACGGTATATATTAGTTATTATTAAATTGTAGCTCTTAATGCATTTATTTATTTTTTATTATTATTCAATGTTAAGATTTAGAAAAGAATTTCATAATTGAACAAGTGGCAATAAATATATTAATGAATTTATTAAACAAACACAACTTAATGCCAAGGAATCTGAAGACATTAACGAATGGATACCTTTTAATAAATTTACAAATATCAAGTATCTTGCTAAAGGAGACTTTGGCACTGTTTTAAGACAATCTGGACTGACGGATATATTAAGAGATTTGATGTTGAAAAGAAGAAAGTCGCAAACAGATGTTTGTTTAAAAAAACTTGGTAATTCTTAAGATATAAAACAAGAATTCTTAAAAGTATGTATCATAAAGTTTATTATCATTATATTATTATTATTATTTATCTTAATTATTATTTTAGGTTGAAACCCAATATAAATGTTGGATAGATTCAGTAATTGGCATTTATAGCATAATCAAGAACCCAAATAATCATAATTATATGATGGTTATGGAGTATACAAAATGAGGAAATCTCTAAAAATTATTTGATAACAAATATAATGAGGTCTAAACTAAATATATTATGGTTTATACGTAGTATGGGCTTAATGAAATCCACAAAGCCGCATTAATGCATAAAGATTTTCATTCCGGAAATATAGTTAATGGAAGTATATCTTCTTTTATACCCTGGTCACTATATCAAGATCGCAAGGCATAAATCAGTTATACCCTAGGCACTATGTGTATAAGCGGAACTTTCAGCCCCGCTTATACCCAACTGCCCAGGATATAACTATTACATATCACCAATTCTAGCTTATGCAAGCCAGTGTCTCAAAAATCAAGCTCTGAAAGGATTTTTGGTGTGCTTCCCTATATTGCTCCCGAAGTGTTATATGGAGAAGAATATACTTTGGAATAATCATATCAGAAGTTTGTACTAGGTATCCTCCGTATCATGATATTCCACATGATAAGGATTTAGCAATTAAAATTTGTCTAGGGTATGGACCTGAAATTAGATGTGAAGTTTCCAGACTACTTTTAGATTTGATAAATAAATGCTTAGATACTAAACCCCAAAACCGACCAACTGCTGAAGAATTAGAAAATGTGTTAAGGAAGTATGCCGTTCTCTACTATATCAAGTACCAGCAAGCTTTTTCTGCAAGAATGAATTGTCTGTCTATTTGTGTTAGAGCCTGGAGACTGTTTCTCAGAAACGAAGCCAGAAGCTGATAGAACATTAAATACTGAAAGCTCTCTTTGTTGCATTTACTATCTTTCCATAACTGTCTATAAGGTTTTGTATATTAGATAATGTTTAATGATATTAAAAATAATCAAACTGTTGTTAAAAATAAAAAAACAAATTCATTAACTGGTTGGATTTTTGTGGTAATAAATTTTTAAATGATTAGTTAAAGAATAGTGATCTAGAAATCAGTAACTATCAAATTAAACATAAAGCGATATGAATAATAAGCTCTATAAAAAACAAACCATTTATTATAAACTCCAACTTATGTTTTTGCCTTGAAATATAGATTTTTGATAAATAACCTTTGAAAAAAAAAAAAGATCCATTTACTTCAATAGATCGCTCCTTATATTCGTAACGAACTATGAAATGAAGATCATATTTGTCACACAATTTAAATAAGTAATCTGTCTCCTCTTTAGTCCAATCTTTATCTATAAATTCATTTTATAAATAATACTACGTATCATGAATAAGCCATTGAGAAATAAAATTATATATGGAAATATTTTTGACTAATACCCATTAAATATTTTTCATATTCTTCATATGATGTCAATTTTTTTGTTATACTCGGCAAACCAATATTCTAAAATAATGTGAATAAGAATTAAAATTAATTACTGTTAAAAAAAAAGATATATTTGACCCAGTGATGTAGTGTTAACTAATCATAATAAAGCTTTGTTATTCCCTTTATCAAGTTATGTTACAATTATTGACAAAACGGATTCTATATCTAAATTTTCTCAATTAAAATCTTATCAATTATATTATAGTTCTATAATTAAAGATAAAGTTTCAATTACCAATGAACGGCCTTTGAATACAAATTCGGTTTTGAGGCTTTACAAAAGCTATTGGAGGTGGACCACCTATTAACTGAAAAAGTTCTCGAGATATTCCATCTATTTAAAACAAAAATATATACATAACTAAAAATATTTAAGATTTAAGCTGGGTTAAAATAATTTTTAATAACGAGCTACAGTACAATCTGAATAGTAATTTTCTGAAGCTTGATATTAATTTCAAAATTCAATAACTAAAAATTTCGGTTAATAGAATACTAACCAGGCTTCTTTTTTTTTTGACTTGTTTGTTTTTTTACTTGGTACAGGTATGTCTGTTGAATTTGAAGGTTTTGAGTAAAGTTCAAGGATATCTTGTACATCATTGCTGGTTATTGCTGCGATTAAAACAAGTTCCAACTTAGGAAGACATGTGATTAACCTCTATACCGAAGTAATTATAAGAGTAAAAAATTTGCTAAATATTCTAACCTATATTTATTACAGTAACCAAGAGTTAATAAAATTAAGGGTATTTGTAGTTTACCAAATTTATTAGAACAAAGATTGCCATGATACGTATTCAAAAAAATTTACTACGTAAAACACTGAGCGTTTCGGATATAAATAAGAATTTTTTATTTATATACAAAGAATTCAGTGCACACCCAATATAGTAACGAGAGTGCCAAAAAAAAAAAACTATCCTAAAACTGACCTTGATCCACTACAAATCTAAATTTTACTTCACCGCTCTCACAACAATGTTCTGCCTTGTCACTAAATCCTTTCATTCGCCATTCAATTAATAATCCCTTTTCTAAATGAAAATTTTTTTTTGATTTAAATTTTGATTCTGATATAGCTTTGTTCATTTCTTTGAATTTATTTAACTCATTTTCATATAATTTAATCCACGATAATTGTCCATTTCCGTAATTTCTTTCTGCCCATTGATTATCTCCAAATATTTCTGTTAGTTGATCGATTGCTTCTTCTCCATCAAAAAAACATTGATACCAGCCCCCGCAAACAGAATACCGGGTTAAATATTGACCAAAAATGTCAACAAAACTATTTTCACTACAATGAATTGAAAACACCTGCTTTCCAACCTTTGAGTAATGATTTTTTAACCGTTTTTGTAACTCTTTTACCATAGTATTTTTGATATGGTGAAATTCATGTTCTGGAACTAACAAAATATGTGCAGGAATTTTCTTATAATTATAATATTTCAAACTTTCATGTCGTTGCAAACCAGCTTTTGACTTAAAGGTCCTCTTACTATTACAAATTGTACAACGAAAATGAGTTAAAGTACTTGTAGTAGGCATTTTAGCTTTTGAAAATCAATAGTATAATAAAAAGTATAAGTCTTATATACTACGTTAGTTTGAAAGATTTTTTTAATAGTAAATGCTTGCTATAATACATACCTATAGTTTGAACGATCGGTTGACCCCACGAACGATCGGTTGGACGCAAATAAGATATAGTAAAATAATATGTGTCAGTTGATTTGATCTCAATTTTGGGGTACTGTTTTGATCAGATCATATTAAAATTGGGGTTCTTTCCTATTAAAATAATATCCCTAAAAACCAAATCGGTAGATATGATACAAAAGATTATTATTTATAATAATTTTTTGTATAATAGTAATTTTGCAAATTTTTATATTTGCATCTTTAACTATAATTAAGAGTAAAAAGTACTATTTTAAAATTATATATAAGCTTAATAGTAAATTTTTTTTATTTTTAATTTTATAAAAGATCATATTAAATAAACTAATTTTAATTTTTAAAAAAAATTTGTAGAGTAGGTTTTTCTGATTTTAATAGTAGTAAAAGGATTAAAATTGGTTAAAATTTAGTAAAATATAAAATTTTAAAGATTAAATATAATAATTTATAATAAAATTAACTTATAAATTAATATATATTAGCCAATCAAATTTGACAAGTTTATATAATCCAGAAAAACTTTGTAATATAAGTATATTTTTTTTAAATAATATAATAGTTCAAAATTTTACTACAATAAATAAATTATTTTATTTATATTTTATAAAATTTTAGTTAAAATTAATTACAACTATAAAAAGTTTATTAATAGTATATTATTTCTATATAAATCTTATTGTTATATAAAAAATAATCTACATACTCTCTATTTTTAAAATTAAAAAAAAAACTTTTTTTTTATAAGTTTATTTAGAGTTAGAAGAAACTTTATAAAAATTTTTTAATTTTTAAAATTTTTTTCTACTAAAAATTCAAAAAACTCTAACTTTCAAAAGTTTTAAAAACAATAGTTTTGTTTTTTAAATAGCTTTTAATAGCTAACAACCAATGTTTTTTTTTTCTAAAATAATATATAAACTAATAGAACTCCTTATAAGCCTATACTATTCTGATATAAATCTTTTTAATCAACTATTTTTTTTTTTTTTTTGATAATTACGTATAAATTTATTAGACATATACAAGTTTATATACTAAACTATCTAATTATATATTTAGCAATACCTAGCTGCTCTAAAAGTGCCCAAGTATAGTTATTACATTAATGTTTGCCAACAAATTTCACATGTGCTGCTATATATATTTAAAAAATTTGCTATAGTATAGTATTTAGCTATCTTTGGCCTTTAAAACTTTTTCTATCTAAATGCAAACAAAATAGTTTATTTTTTATATTTTCATAAAAGAAGAAAATAAGTGCCAAATTTATAAAAGAAAGCTACAAATTTAAAAAAAGAAGAAAACAAAAACAAAAACAAAAAAGAAAAGAAAAAAAACAAAAAAAAAATAAGGAGAGATATACTAAATTGAATTTGATTATAAATAAAAAAAGATGAAAAAAGTAAAAAAACCAAAAATGAAACAAGCAAAACAAAATAAAAAAAAACAAAAACCCAACAAATATACACTATTAAGCCTGCATATGAGACTAAAAAATTATATAACTAATACAACATTAGCATATCCCTATTGCAAAGTAATCTCTTAATGTAAAAGTTCTTTTCAACATATAATTAACTTTAGAAACAATTAAAATCTACATACTGATCTTTTGTTGATAGCACCATTTATAGAACATGACTATAAACAAATACATGGTTGCAATTTACTAGGTCATCTAAATTTGAAAGGAGTAAACAATACTAATCTTTTGATAGGGTAAACTGTTTTGTCTACTTTTTATAAAAATTTTGTAGGAGAAGAAGTGGGTAATAGTATAGAGAATAGCTCTTGTATTCTTTTTTAAAGAACATATATATTTTTCTGAAAGTAGTAAAATATATAAAGCTAGATTAACTGCTAACTTTCTTGTTAGTAGGTAATAAACTCTGAACTTTTTAGCAAGTAGCATATGAAAACTACTTCTAAATAACAAGTGCCATCTCTACAATAAGTGATAAGCTTTAAGTCTGTTAGCAGGTAGTATATGAGAACTATTTCTAAATAACAGGTGCTAATTTATAGATTTTATCAGTCTTATACTACTCTTTACTATCATAGTTTACTGTTTTTTAAAAAAAAGTTTGTTGTGTTTTTTGGTATAAAGAATTATTAAAAAAAGTTGTTTTAATCAACTATTAATAATAAACCAATCTATGGGTGTGGTGACTTAGTGAAGTGGTGGAGTTGTTATACTCCCAGATAGCAGGTCTAGAGTTTGAATCCCACGGATGACATTTTTGAAAAATAGCCCTGTGATATGGTTAACAGCTATCACTATTGATTAGATCCTAATCTGTAACCTTGGTCATACCATCTTGAATGAGAGCTTTGACACAATAAATCCAAGAAACTAGAATAACTGAAAACCCATTTGGCAAGTTTCGAGTTAGGAAGTACTATAAAACACCATATACAAGATCTGGGTTTGTTATATTTCACCAAATTTAAAACCTATAATAGACCCACGGGTCTATTGTACAGATATAGGTTTGATGATCAGTAAGGTTTTTGGTAGGAGATCTGATAATTGGTGAGGTTTTTATATGAGGGGTCTAGTACTAAGTAGTATATGGCATGTGATATATTATGTAAATCAAATATTTTGAAAATAAAACTGCACTTCACTTTTTTTAGATGTGCAGTATGCATTCTTCTTATTCAAAGTCAATCTATTTGTTGTTACTACGATATTTATTTTAACATCACCTATAGAAAATATCTTTTTTAACTAGGTCTTTTTAACGTATAATCATTACTTTGTTCACTCAACAAACTAATAATTTTTTTAATAGAAAACTTTATTTGGCTTCGTACTTTGTTCTTTGAGAATTAATCTTGTGTTATGCAAAATTTGGGTTTAAAACATCTGGTTTTAAGGGTCGCATATTTAATTATAATCTTTGTATAAGTATCGCTTGATAATAAATTCTTGTAAGTTATATGGTTTTGATTTATATAGTATATACTGTAGTATATCACTGCATCGTGTGTTATAAATAAAAATGCAGATATTAGAACATAAAATAACATACTGCCGTAAGTAGGTAGCTACTCAATTATATATCACTATATTTTAGTTATAAAAGGTTTGTTTGATGTGGATTATGGTTTTTTTTTTTTTTACTCAAACCATATTATATATAACATAGTGAAGAGTAGGAACAAATTCGATATTACCCAAGTTGAATTTGAGCTAGCGGTCTAACCAGTTCAGAGACAAAGTGTGAAGATCATAAGTTCGATTACAAAAGAACAACCCTTTTTTTATTATTATTATTATTATTATTATTATTATTATTTTTTAAAAAAAAAATAAATAAATAAATAAATAGATAAAAGAACCTGTATTAAAGACTGATAAAAATAAATTGGTAAAGCCTGCAGCATTATAAAGAATCTCTTACAAATATATTTAAAGTTATCATTATTGTGATATAGCAATCAAAAATTAACGAACATTTTACAGAATTATCTGGTTATTTCAATTTTTTTAATTTATCAATCTTCAAAAAACCTTATATGTTAAGTAATTATTTGTTCCCATGCTTAAGTAACTTTATCAGATTATCGCTATCACTATGGTATAGTTGTCTTATTAGCATAATTAGTATGTATAAAATTTACATTACTATTCTTTATATATAAAAAATTTATCATGGTTTATATTTTTTTGTTTTTCATTTTTTTTTTTTTTAGCAAAAAGGTAACAGATGAAAGTTTATTAAAATTAACGTGATGGTATTAATATGAAATAATATATATTTAAGTACCAGAAAAATGGGATGTAGAAAAACGATTTTAAAATTACAAGCAAATATTACTAAAAAAAAAAGAGAAGTTGGAATGCTTATGAAAAATTGGCAATCATTATGTACTTTGAAAAAAATCTCACAGCTAGCAAACAAAACACTGCAGAAAAGTTTAATATGACTTTGAAACAATTGCGAGAATAGATAAAAAAAAAAAAAATTAACAAATACACCATCTTGTATTAGACGGTTAAATATTGGTAGGCATGCTAAGTATCTGCTTTTAGAAGCTGATCTTAAAACCTGGGTTAAATCTTTATGTTTACAACAAAAGATCATATTCTGTTATATAGTTAGAACTAAAGCTAGTCAACTTGCAAAGCAATCATGTTTTCTTTCACTTTATCCAATGATCAATGAGTGTAAATAGAGTAACAAGTGGGTCAATGGTTTTATGCGTTGTAATAAATTTAGCAACTAGTGCTAAACCACTATAGCACAAAGATTACCAGAAGACTTAGAACCTAAAAGAGATGAATTTTTAAGCCACATATTATATCATCGCATGCACTACAAGTATTCCCTTTCACTTATCGGTAACATGGATGAGCATTTGACATGTCTAGTAATTATACAATTGAAAAAACCAGTGCTAATACTGTTGGAATCTGTACAGCTGGCTATAAAAAATCTAACTTTACAGTTGTTTTAAGTTGTTTAGCTAATGGAACTAAATTGCCCCTATGATACTTTTTAAATTAGTAAATATGCTACAGCAAGTATTTTTACCAGGTATTGTTGTATGAACCAATCTGAGTAGGTATATAAATAGTGATGAAATGATTTATTAGATCAAAAATATATAGTACCAATGAGCTTCTTTGTTGATCAACTCTCGTTTACTCTTAGGTTTGGATACGTTTAGTGATCATTTTACAGACCTGATTAAAAATCGATTTAATAAAAAAAATACTAACATAGCAGTTATCCTAGAAGAACTTATAAAAAAGTTGCAACTGTTGGACGTATATATTAATAAGTTCTTTAAAGACAAGGTAGACAATACTTTTTTTTTTTTTAAAAAAAAAAAAAAGATCAGCCAAACATTTTTGACCC